TCTTTGCCATTACTTGGCATGCATCAGAGAGCTGGGTCATGACTAAGGATGATAGAAGAAGAATTGCTGCCTTTGAGTTGTAGTGTTAGAGAAGAATATTGAATATATCATGGACTGCTAGCAAACAGGTCCAAATAGGAGAGGGTGAAACCAGGCTGTTCCTTGGAGGTAAGGATTTTAAAAGTTCATCTGACATACTTCAGGCATGTTACTAAGAGGGACCAGTCCTTTGAGAGAGACATCATTCTTGTGAGGGTGGAGGAACAGAGCAAGAAATGAAGACTCTCAATGAGATGGATTGACTCAGTGACTGGGGTAATGGTGGTAGGTGTGTCAGAGACAGTGAGGTTGGCTCAGAATAAAGCAGGGTTCAGAGCTGTTGTACATAGTGTCGCTATGAATTGAAAGCTACTTGACAGTACATAACAATAACAATTAAAAGGTGATATTTTAGTTAAGTATTTTTTCTCCATTAAAGATATTAATTTCCTTATGTGAAAGAAAGTAGATGAGAGACTTAGGACACATGTAAGAAATACATCTTTCTTTCCAAACACAATGCTGAACACATTAAAAAAGGGCTCATTGAATCCTTGCAATTTAGGATATTTTTCTTCCTCAATGAAATTGGCAAAAGGGGAAAAAAAACACACCTCCATTTGGTATAAATCTAAAGCAACAGAAAATCAGCCGAAAAGACAGGAAATATCCTATTCATTCCAAATGACTATTGTGAATTTAAAAAAAAATACAGCTGGCAAAGTGAGAAACATGTTATAAAACTGACAAGCTGGATTCTAAAATACGTTCTTCCTTTCTCAATCTTTCTTTCTTGATCATTACTAATTTTTCTTCTGGACCCGTAGTAAGGTTCTCACAGTTCGGTGAATTGACTTTGAAAAGAATTTTGCAAGGTTCATCAGGTACACAAGATTAGTTTATTCCTGCAGCTCCATTTAGCCTACGTGGATCATACTAAATGAAGTTTTGGCACGTATTATTTTCTGGAAAAATGGACTAAAGAATAACTTTGAAGGTAAAATAGAAATTATTTCATCACCACAAAAAAGAAAGATATTTATGAAGCTGCTGTTGTGTGCCATCAAGTCAGACCTGATCCCTGGTTTACCTTCCACTGGGTTTTCAGAGGCATGGGAGGATATTACCCATCTATCTCCAATGCCAATCTCTATACTTTATGGGTAATGTGGGTTTGATCCATTTAACTTTCCTGGAGTAATATTTATACTCCCTCAAAATACCAGACCAGAATGAAAAGCTCATGTTTGCTGGATTATTTTACTCCTTTCCTCAGAAACCATGTCTTCATATTAAAGCCTTTGGTGATATGCTGGGGACAATTAGAATTCCCAAACCCGTCACTAACTTTCTAGGGTTCAATCTGTTCTGACTCACAGCAACCCTACAACAGGTTTCCTGTGCTTTAAATAGCAGTGAAAAGAAACTTCCATATTTGTTATGCAGGGCTGTCAGTGGTTTCGAACCACTGGAGATGAAAAACCTTTGGGTTAGGAGACAAACTCATATCATCAGAACACTGTTTTTTGTTGTTATGTTCCATGGAGTCAATTCCAACTCATAGCAACCATATGTACAACAGCTCTGAACCCTGCTCTATTTACAGCCATTCATTATCTCTAACTCAGCTACCCTCATTACCCCAGGCACAGTGCCAATCCATCTCATCGAGGGTCTTCCTCTCTAATGCTATCTCTCTACCCTCCCAAGCATGATATCCATCTCCAAGGACTGGTCCTTCCTTGCAACATGCCCATAGTGTGTCAGACGGAGCTTCAAAATCTGCCTCCAAGGAGCAGTCTGGTTTCACCCTTTCCAGGATGGACCTGTTTGTTCTCTTAGAAGTCCATTGTATTTTTTTTTTCACATATTGGAAATTGCTGAACTCTATTTTTTTTTAATTTAGGTTGTTTATTTTTCATTTCAATGAACATCTACAGAGATTTGGGGATTCCATTCACTCATTGTTGCACCCTTCTCCCCGTCTATTTTGTATGACATTGTGATTCCAAGTGTGAGTAATTGGGATAAGAATATTGCCTACTAATAGATAAAGACGAGACAAATTCAATATATTGTTCTTATGAAATATTAATTGAAACAACACGTATAGATTGGCACCTTTATGTACATATGTGGAGCCTTATGTTAATTTTGCTTCACAAACACCTCATTCTGAAGCAAGAAGTGTGGTTTTTAAATGGAAATAAACAGATAGTGATGAGCCTTTGAAAGAAGGCTGAAGAAAAGTGCACAAGATGAGTCATGAAACCAATAGTAAAAAACCTGTTTTAATGTAAAGAATTATATTAAAGATGCAATGTGTGAGATCTGCCAGGTAAGAAAGTGAGTGAACATTCCTTTAGACGATGTAGTTCCATAACCAGTGAGGAAACCAGCAAAGAAACCAGCAAAACAAACAAACAAACAAGTACATCAAAATATAATCTCTTGCACTCGGTAAATATAAAGCTCAAAGTTGGCCTTGCCCCGAGTCTGAATTTCTCTCATGCTATCAAATCCAGGCCGTTCAGGCTGAGTCCATTTGCTCATCCAGTCAGTACATCCTCTCTCCATTCTCTCAGCTCATCAAGGGGAAATCCTACGGGAAACAAGATACTCTTCCCAGAAATTACAAAGTCTCATATTCTCTAGCTGAAACCCGAATCCATCACTAACTAGTCACTGTAGCCCTAATGTCGGTACAGCCTCACACCCCACCCTAGTAATAGAGGCCACTGCAGAATGTAGTATAAAATGAGTGGTTCCTAAAGGGAAATTGATGTGATATTGTGTAAGTAATTGGAACTGAAGGGCTAAAAAGAATAGAGGTCCTGTATTTGTAAGATATTCTCTTACCATTCAGTAAAAATTTATTATATTGTTGTAAGTATGCCTGTCTTTCTCTTCAAATATCTAACTGACTATCTAATAATGTATCTATAATTAAGGTCAAAGAAAAGGAAATATGCTTTGATTACTACTAGAAATGATCCTTATGTAAATGGAACACATTGCACCATCTATTCAATTCTCACTGGTTGATGAATAAATCTCAATTACTCTTAATAGGTAAATGAATTGACAGATTGTGTTGTATTCATACAACAGAATATAAGCAATAAAAAGAAACTACTGATAACAATATGAATGATATTGGGAAAAAATATGTTGAGTATAATAAACTATGTGTAAAAGAGTGCATACTGAATTTTTCTACTAATGTTTCAAATTATACGATGTTGTCGTAACTGTGAAGTGCTGGCTGTTTGCTCTGACTCCTAACAGCCCAATGAAGAACAGAATGAAAACTTCCAGAGTCTTGCTCCATCCTCACAATCTCAGATATACTTAAACCCATTGCTGCAACTACTCTAACAAGCTGTATGGTATTAGTGAAGACTATTCACTATACCAGGGGCTACCAGAAAAATAACCAAATAGGTCTTGGAATAAATGCAGTCAGAATGCTCCTTAAGATTTATCATGGCAAGACTTCAGCTCATGTGATTAGGCATAAGGAAAGACCAGTTGCTGGAGAAGGTCAACATGCTTGGTAGAGGGTCAGTGAAAAAGAGGAAGATCATCAGTCATGCCATTGTCAAATGATTAAATAGATGATGATAGATAGATAGTTAATAGATGGTTGATAGATGATAGATAATGACAGAGAGATGGATAGAGAGTAGATAGATAGATAGATAATGATAGAGAGATGGATAGAATAGATAGATAGATAGATAGATAGATAGATAGATAGATAGATAGATGGCTGATAGATGATAGATAATGATAGAGAGATGGATAGAGAGAATAGATAGATAAACAGATAGACAGATGGATACATAGATACATAGACACATAGATACATAGATATAGCTAGATGATAGATAATGATAGAGAGATGGATAGGATAGATAGATAGATAGATAGATAGATGATAAGTAGGCATGTAGGTAGACAAGCAGACAGACAGACAGATAGATGGTAGATAGATAGATGGATAGATAGATAGAAAGATTTGTTGTTGTTGCTGTTATGTGCCATCGAGTCATCTGCAACTCATAGAAACCCTATGAACAATATATCTGAAGCCTGCCCTACCCTAAGTCACTCACTGTCCCCAACACACGTACCCTCCTTACCCCAGTTACTGTGTCAGTCCATTTCATCCAGAGTCTTCCTCTCCTATGCTGGACCTCCACCCTTCCACGCATGACGACCTTCTCCAAGAACTAGTCCCTCCTGGAAACATTTCCCAAAGTAAGTGAGACATAAGCTTCAAAATCCTTGCCTTTAAGAACAGCTTGGTTTCACTCGCTCTAGGAAACACCTACATGTTCTCTTGGCAGAGCATGATATGTTCCATACTATTCTCCAGCACCACAACTCAAAGGCATCAATTCTTCTGTCATCCTTGGTCATCATCCAGCTTTCTGATGTAAAGTAGGTAATTGCAAAGATCATGGCCTGAATCAGGTGCACCTTAGTCTCTAGACTGACATCATTGTTCTTCAGCACTTCAAAGAGATCCTAGTTAGCAGGTTTTCTTAATATAATTCTTTTCATTTCCTGACTGCTGGTGTCAAGAATGTAGCTACAAGTATATATGTAATTTTTCCATATATCTATAATTAAAATTCATTACTTCCCAGCATCTATCTAAACTATGTCTCTAACACCTATTGCAGTGCCTTATGCAGAAAAAGAATGCAATTAATAATTGCAGTGACAATTATTATAGCCATATTACAGGTAAGGGTTCTAATAGCTACAGAATTGCATATGTCATCATTAGGCATATGGTTGTAAAGGAACCAGATGAGGATTGAGAGTTCCCCTGTCCCTCATGCCAGGTGCCTTCTGCTCAACCTCACAGCCTTTTCATTATGAGGCGCTCGCCTCTATTGACCATTGTCTCCTTTTTCTTATCTTGTCTCTGTCCTTCCTTCACCCCCTAGGTACACCAAAATGAAGACTGCCACCAACATCTACATTTTCAACCTCGCCCTGGCAGATGCCTTGGTGACCAGCACCCTCCCCTTCCAGAGTGTCAATTACCTGATGGGAACATGGCCATTCGGAACCACACTCTGCAAGATCGTGATCTCCATAGACTATTATAACATGTTCACCAGCATCTTCACGCTGTGCACCATGAGTGTCGATCGCTACATCGCCGTCTGTCACCCGGTCAAGGCCCTGGATTTCCGGACCCCCCGCAATGCCAAGATTGTCAATGTCTGTAATTGGATCCTTTCTTCAGCAATCGGGCTGCCTGTGATGTTCATGGCAACCACAAAATACAGGCACGGTGAGCAGTGCCACAGTCTCGACGAGGGGAGGGAGGGTGTATTGCTTTTCCTTCCATAAAAATAATAGCCTGGGAAACATCATGGGAAAGTTTTTCTCTGTCCCTTAGGGTAGCTCTGAATTAGAATCCATTTATTGGCAACAGGTATTCTGTTGAGTAACATCTTAGGCACATTATAATTTTCACTATTCTTTTCCCAGCAAGTGTCACTGGATATTAGGAACTAGAAAACTTGCGTACCATTTAAGAGCACAAAAATTTAATGTAGTCTAAATTAAAACCTGGGAAGTCTGAAATTTGTAAAGGAGAAACTTTTCAGGAAATAAAAGTCTAGTAATTCCCACTAAGATAAGTGACAACAGAAAAGTAGTAAAAAAAAAAAAAAAAAAGTATACTCACAGTGACAGGATACACTTTGCCAAAGGCAAAAAAATTGCAAAACCTCGGAAAATAAGCAAGTTCTATCAACTCTCAGCTGTCACAAATTTTCCTGCCTTTCTTTCAGATTTTTCTGTATCTTATTTACCAATGCAATAAACAAATAAGTGTGCATTGTTACTGAATAAAGTTTGTGTTTTAGCAACAAAAACTCAGCCTTGCCCAAGCTGATGACATCCTCAAAATTTCTCCTGTGTTTAAATCTATTGCTCTAGTCACTGTTGGTTCATCTCATTGGGGTTTTTCCTATCCTTTACTGATTCATAATCCTTTGCAAGGAATTTTGTCCTTTCTCAGGACATGGCCCATCCTGACAACATGCCCAAAGTAGATGAGATTCTTGTTTCTAAGGACCATTTCATGCATGACAGATTGGTTAATTCTTTTTAACAGCCCATGATGTACTTAATATTCTTTCTCAACACCACACTCCAAAAGCACCAATTCTTCACTGTTTTTCCTTTTTCATCATACAAATTATCATATGCATATGAAGCAATGGAAAATACTATAGTTTGGGTCAACTGCACCTTTGTCTTTATAGTTATATCCTTGCCCTTTCCTGTTTCTAAAGACATCATTGGCAGTCAATTTAGCCTATGCAACCATCTTGTGACTTCTTGATTTTTGCTACCTAGATGCCGATTATGGATCTAAACAAAAGGAAATCTTTGACGAGTTCAGTCTTTTCTTATTTTATTATGATGGTATTTACTGGTCCGGTTGTGAGGATTCTTGTTTTTCTCATGTTGAGGTGTAATCCATACAGAAGACTGTAGTCCTTGACCTTCGTAAGTGCTTTATGTCTGCTACTTTAGGTTGCACCATTTGTTGATGAAACTTGCTCCAATCAGGATGACACATCCTACCTAATATAGTGAGTTTCTCGGATTATTTGCTCATCATACAGATTAAATGGGTATAGTGCCGTATACAACCCTGAAACACACCTTTTTTGATCTTAAATCATGCAATATGTCTTTGTTCTATTCAAATTACTGTTGCTTCATCTATGTACGTGGGTAAAATGAAATATTCCAGAAGGCCCATTCTTATCAATGCATTTTCATGGCACATTAGATTTATTTCAGACTGCAGAAATTGGTAGAAATCTTTCATCTTTGGTTTTAGTGAGTGATGTATACATTCAAATGATAGTCATATTATCCAGTGTCCCGTGTATGTGTGTGGATAGTTTCCTATCATTGACAGTTCTGTTCAGCAGGATACATCTTAAAATGTTCTTTTTGGTGGTAAATGCAATTCCATTCCTCTTTGATCTGTCCTTCCTGCATGGTAAACTACTGTTTGACTCAGAATCATCAACACCAGTCCACCTCAGCTCACCAACGGCTGGGATGTCAACCTTACTGTGTTCTGTATAACTTGACCCCTATTTCATACATTCCAATCTTTGATGGATGTTTGCACCTGTATATTCTCATTTTGAGACATATTACATTAGAAAATGAAGGTCCCTCATTAGCTAGAAACTTACTCATTCTACATGATTAAACAGACTACCTTTTGAGGAGGTAGGTTTGCCCTGTTGTATTTTGAGCATCATTCAATCTTAAGACCTCATGTTCCAACATTATACTAACAAATTCCACTGTTACTCATTCCATTTTCAAGGGCCCATTATTTCTAAATTAGATGGCAAGACCTTCCTCCTAGTCAAACTTAATCTGGAAACTGTGTTAAACAATGTCCACCACAGGGGACCTTGCTGATGTTTGAGATGCTGGTGGTATCACTTCTATTTTCAATGCAACATGCAAACCACCACAAGAAAAAAAAACTGACAGAACAGTGGTGGAGTAAGAACATACCTCTCCCAAAAACAATTAGAGCTTAAATTCAAAGGCTATTATGTTCTGTCTTGCTTTAAAATCACAAGTTGTTGCTGTTGTTGTTATGTGCCATCGAGTTATTTGCAACTCATAGTGACCCTATGTATGACAGCCCTAAACCCTACTCTGTCCTGTGCCAGTCACACTGCCTCTGACACACCCATCCCAATTACCCCAGTCACTGAATCAATCCATCTCATAGAGAGTCTTCCCCTCTTGAGCTGTCCCTCCACCCTCCCAAGCATGATGTCCCTCTATAAGGACCTGTTCCTCCTTGCAACATGTATGTCAGACGAAGCCCCAGAATCCTTGCCTCCAAGGAGTTGCTTGGTTTAATCCTCTCCAGGATGAATCTGTTTGTTTTCGTAGCAGT